ATATAATTAATATAACATATAAATATATTTATATTATTTATATATATAAATTTATAGATTTTATGTATGTGTGTTTCTGTATGCATATGTACACAGATATGGCATATATGACATGTACATGTAAATGACTAAAACAGCACCTGAACTGCCACATACACTGCCTGTACTTCAGTGAAGAGTGTTTGAATTGGACTCCGTGCTCATCTGTTAGCTCTACCAATTGTGAATGCAAAAAAAAAAAAATCACTTAGTGTTGAACTGAATGGTGGTAACGACTCCATTAAGACAGTCCAGTTCCAAGTTTTATAAATAATGCTACTCATAAACAAAGCATGTATACAAATCAATTTGAATTGCAAATACATCTGCAAAGGGGTAGAATGGTATTTATCTAGCTGTGTTTCACAGGAAGCTGCTTATGAACGTTTCTTTTGGGACCATTCTGTGGCACATTCAGAAAATCAGAAAAAAGCAAATGCAATGCTATTACATTTCTACCATGAAGAAAGAAGCATTTCCTCGTCACAGAGGGACAGCCATGTAGAGAAGCAGAGGTATCCGTTGAACCAGTGGTTCTGAAATATGACCCAGGAGCAGCAGCACCGACACCCTCAAATGTCTGGGCTTCACTCCAGATTTACAGAGGGAAGCCTGAGCGTGGGGACCGGCACTCTGTTTCAGCAAGCTCTCCAAGTCGTTCTGATGCAGGCGGAAGTATGAACACCACTGTACTAGGCTATGAAGCCTAGGGAAGAGCTGGTGCCTTTAGAGAGTGCATGTGAGGCTCACTCTGCTAGTTACATGGGGTGAAAAAAATGCACTTAGTTATGATCAAATGGACATCATTCCTAACTAACAAACAAAGCATGAGTGGGGATCATTTCATAGTTCAGGAATATCCATCAGCACTATAAGAGACAAGTTGCACTAAAAGGTGGGCCATTCTGTTCAGCTGCATCCCTGTTGCCTGGTATTGCCTTCAGACAGGTCTCAGTGTTTCACCCTACCTAATGAGGTTGTCCTTAACCTTCAACAGAAGGATCTCAATTCTTCCCACATGTGGTCACTGTTGAAATCAGACCCAGGCTTCCTAAGCACACTCACTGGAGAGCACATTTGGAACCAGCCTCGTCAGGAGGAGAGCTCTTGTTTCACCACCGGGGTGCTTAATAAAGAGTGGGAGATTTAAGGTAGGAGAATCGTCAGAGAATAGAGAGAGTCTTAGACAACTCAGTAGCTGGGCAAAGCTCAGTCTGCCCTTCTCATTTCCATGCAGTTGTCGTGGCAACAATGAGCCTGAAGTCAGGGACCATAGCAGCCCAGAACCTGCAGTGTGTGTGCTCTGTGGACCCCACCTTCCTTAGTGCGTGCCCATCTCAATTCTAATCTGCCAGATAGAGAACAGATAGTGACACAGTAGTCATTTGAAAGGTAATCTCACATGGGAATGTTCCTGGTTCAAGTCTGGAGATTTCTCTGAATGTGTTGGGCACACATATGTCCATAGTCCAGGCTAGCTAATGCCAGAAGCAGATTGCATGCAGCACTGATACCTTGTTGGGGATACAGTCCTTCTGTCTGTCTGTTTCTCTCTCAGGCATGGAACACCCAAATAAATAAACTTAAAAAAAAAAAAAAGTGTGAGAAAAGTGTCAGTACTGCAGACGGTTAGCCTTAAAAAAAATATTCAGGCACAACTCCCATTGTTGAAATATAATATGAACCAGCAGTTAATATATATGGACATTTTTCTTGATACATAACTAATAATGAAAGACTCAAGGAAAACGGAGAACAATTTTTTAAGTTTAAGAAAGTTTTAAAAGACTACCTACAAAGGAAAGAAGTGGAGAAGGAAAGGGGAACATTTTCCTGGGCCGTCAAAGCAGAGAGATCTCTGTCTCTCCAAGCAATTCATGTTCCTCAAAGGATGGCTCCCTCAGTCCAAATGCCCTGAAATGATGATTTGGCAGGTAATGCCAGAAGATGACCACATAAGGGCCTCACAGCCGTAGGTTAGGAGTGTTCCAGTCCAAACGTAAAGTGAGAGTCCGTTTCTTTCTTTCTTTTCTTTTTCTTTTTTTTTTTTGTGTGTGTCATGCTACAAGTTAATTTCCCAGAAAGTAACAATTTAACCATTAATATCTTTAGTTGTTGCTGACTAAATTCTATCTTTTCACACTTGGAACCCAAGAAGGTCCCCATACTGTGAGCTACCCCTGGCTATAGGCAGCCCTGGATCATGGGCAAGTTGAGCCTGGCACATTGAGGGAGGATTCTAGACATGATGTGCGATTTCTGCTTGAAATAATCATACTTTAATAGAGCCCTTACTCAAAACCATATTTTGTTTTTTCTTTCTTTCATTTTTTTTTGAGAGATTTTTGCTATATGTACATG